TGGGAGAAGTGAGTCCTACGGGTAAGTTCAGCTGGTCAGGAAGGGCCCCTCCGTGGGCCGGGAACATGCTCAGTGCCCCTGGACAGAGGCACCCCCACCTTCCTGAGCCACTCTGGCCAGGGGTCTGGACTCACCCCGACTGATGAGAGGCATCTTATCCAACCCCCCAACTTCCAGGCCAGAGAGGGCTCACAGGTTCTGAAGGGCATCCGGAGGAGGGATCCCACAGCCAGGCCACCAGATCCCCAGCTCCAGGTGGCTCCATTTGATAGACATTTTCCCAGAGCTCCACGGTACCTACGCCAGAGCACTGGACTCAGCTCCCCTGGAGTCTGGGTGAGGCTACGGGCATCTTCCCACATCCCTCCGAGGTGATGCCAACAGTCGCTACTCTTTATGGGTCCCTCCTTGTCCCTAGGTGTGTCCTAGACCCCCAGTGGGATCCTCCTTGTCCCTAGATGTGTCCTAGACCCCCAGTGGGTCCCTCCTTGTCCCTAGGTGTGTCCTAGACCCCCAGTGGGGTCCTCCTTGTTCATGGGGTGTGTTCTAGCCCCCAGTTGGATCCTCCTTGTCCATGAGGTGTGTCCCAGACCCCCAGTGGGGTCCTCCTTGTCCCTGGGTGTGTTCCAGCCCCCAGTGGGGTCCTCCTTGTCCCTGGGTGTGTTCTGGCCCCCAGTGGGGTCCTCCTTGTCCCTGGGTGTGTCCCAGACCCCCAGTGGGATCCTCCTTGTCCCTGGGTGTGTCCCAGACCCCCAGTGGTGTCCTCCTTGTCCCTGGGTGTGTCCCAGACCCCCAGTGGGATCCTCCTTGTCCCTGGGTGTGTCCCAGACCCCCAGTGGGATCCTCCTTGTCCCTGAGTGTGTCCCAGACCCCCAGTTGGGTCCTCCTTGTCCCTGGGTGTGTCCCAGACCCTCAGTGGGGTCCCCCTTGCCCATGGGCTGTGTTCCAGCCCCCAGCAGAGGCCTGAGGTGGACACTACCTGTACCTGTGTGCACTCTGCTCTTCCCTAGGTGTGCACTCCTAGGGTGCCGCTTGAGGGGTGAGTCAGGCACAGCCAGGGGTTCGCCAGGGGTTCGCCACGATTGACGAATCAGCACAGGGTGGCGGTACACTGCAGCCATCGCCAGACTTACCGTGCTCACACTTTGGGGCTATTTTAAGACCAATATTGTGACAGTCAATCTGATACTGGAGGTGGCTACTAAGTGACTGGCAGTGGGCAGGTATGCAGCAGGGACACCTGGGACAAAGGGACAGGTCACCTCCCAGGAGGACAGCACAGGCATCATCAAGTATGCAGAGCAGCGTGGACTAGAGACTCGTGTTCAGTTTTGGGGATGGGGGCTGTACTTCTACCTGAAGGGAGGCCAGAGAGAAGGATGTGCTTCAACCAAGACCAGGAATTGATAAAGCCACATTTCAAAGAAGGATAGATTTCCTAAGATCCTTGAGGTGGACCCAATGCATTATAATGACAACGGTCATAGCACTATCAGTGTGCCCCAGGAGCCACATAGATTCTGTGCCACACAACAGCTACCCGTCTATGTCCCCACCTAGTTACTTTCCCCAAGGGTGTACAATTCCCTGTAAGTCGAAAGAGAGCTCCAAGAGGGACTTTCTGCACTGTGTGGCAGGTGAGTGGCAGGTGTGTGACAGGTGTGTAGCATGTGAGGAGAGGCAGGTGAGTGGCAGGTGAGTGGTAGGTGAGTGGCAGGTGAGGAGTGGTAGGTGAGTGGCAGGTGAGGAGTGGCAGGTGAGGAGTGGTAGGTGAATGGCAGGTGAGGAGTGGTAGGTGAATGGCAGGTGAGGAGTGGCAGGTGAGTGGCAGGTGAGGAGTGGTAGGTGAATGGCAGGTGAGGAGTGGTAGGTGAATGGCAGGTGAGTGGCAGGTGAGTGGCAGGTGAGTGGCAGGTGAGGAGTGGCAGGTGAGTGGCAGGTGAGGAGTGGCAGGTGTGTGGCAGGTGAGGAGTGGCAGGTGAGTGGTAGGTGAGTGGCAGGTGAGTGGCAGGTGAGGAGTGGCAGGTAAGTGGTAGGTGAGTGGTAGGTGAGTGGCAGGTGAGTGGCAGGTGAGGAGTGGCCGGTAAGTGGCAGGTGGGGAGTGGCAGGTGAGTGGCAGGTGAGTGGCAGGTGAGGAGTGGCAGGTGAGTGGCAGGTGAGGACTGGCAGGTGAGTGGCAGGTGAGGAGTGGCAGGTGAGGAGTGGCAGGTGAGTGGTAGGTGAGGAGTGGCAGGTGAGTGGTAGGTGAGTGGCAGGTGAGGAGTGGCAGGTGAGTGGCAGGTGAGTGGTAGGTGAGTGGCAGGTGAGTGGCAGGTGAGGAGTGGCAGGTGAGTGGTAGGTGAGTGGTAAGTGAGTGGCAGGTGAGTGGCAGGTGAGGAGTGGCAGGTGAGTGGCAGGTGAGTGGCAGGTGAGGAGTGGCAGGTGAGTGGCAGGTGAGGAGTGGCAGGTGAGTGGCAGGTGAGTGGCAGGTGAGTGGCAGGTGAGGAGTGGCAGGTGAGTGGCAGGTGAGGAGTGGCAGGTGAGTGGCAGGTGAGTGGCAGGTGAGGAGTGGCAGGTGAGTGGCAGGTGAGTGGCAGGTGAGTGGCAGGTGAGGAGTGGCAGGTGAGTGGTAGGTGAGTGGTAAGTGAGTGGCAGGTGAGTGGCAGGTGAGGAGTGGCAGGTGAGTGGCAGGTGAGTGGCAGGTGTGTGGCAGGTGAGTGGCAGGTCTGGATCCAACTGGCCCTGGCCAGTAGCAGGGGACTTGGGCAGCTGGGAGAGGTCAGCCAGGCGGTCAACAGCATAGGAGCCTCGCTGTGGAGAGCAGTGGGCGCTGCTCCGTGGGAGTGACGTCCCCACTGAGGGCAGGGACAGAATGCTCATCCCTCCACCAGGACGGAGCCTGGATCTTGCCAGGAACTGCACGAGGTCGTGACCTTTCCGCCAGTCTGCCTGAGCTGCGCTGTGGTGGGTCACCACGTTCTGCTCCCGCATTTGGTCAACACACCGTTCATTTTATGGATATTTTTGGAAGTTTTAGTATATTTTTCCACACTTAAAATAATTTGAGGTAAAATTCACACAACATGGAATTGCCCATTTTCTGTGAGTCCATAGAGGGTCTACCCAGCCGTGACCCTCCCCTCGCCCCATAGAGGGTCTACCCAGCTGTGACCACTCCTCTCGCCCCAGAGAGCCCGTCTCTCTCAGCAGCTGGTCCTCTTTCCCTGCTGTCCCTACATTTTGGAAACCACTAACCTACTTTCTGTCCTAGAAAGTGACGCACCTGCACCCATGGCGTGACCCAGCCAGTGGCCTTTTGTGTCTGGTGGAGTTCACTCGGCCCGCGCCAGGGGTCCAGTACTTCCGTTATTCCTGTGGCTGAGTGGCCACCCTGGCGTGGCGGTGCTGCGTCGATTCACTCATCCGTTGATGGACACTCTGCTATGAACATCTGCGTGCAAACGCGTTGGATGCTGGTCTCGGATTCTTTGGAGTACGTACCCAGGAGCGGGAGAGGGGCTGGTAGAGTACTTGCCTACCAGGTGCAAGACCCCAGGTTTCAGCCCCAGCACCAAATTATCAATCAATCAATCAATCAATCAAGTGAAATCGAGAGGCAGGGACCAGCAAGTAAGGACACATCAGAGCCGGAGCTCTGCCAGGAGGAAGAGGAGTGGCCCCTGATGGCCTCGACGAGGGATGGGAGTCCACAGGGACTCAGAGGTGCCGCGGTCATGGCTTTGAAGACGGAGGGGGACCTCTGAGCCGAGGACTCTAGGGACCTCCAGAGCTGGGCCCCAAGCAGCAGAAGGAAACAGGGGCTTGGCCCTACAATCTCGGGCACGGAAGCCCAGGGCCTGCAGAGCCTCGTGATCAGGGCCTAGGACGCGTGACCTGCTGCAGGGAGGTGAGAGGAGGGCCCTGAGAGGCTGGACAGGCATCAGTGTGTGGGAAGAGCGAGGGCACAGCCCCCGTGGGACCCCGGCTGGACCACAGCAGGCGGAGCTCTCAGAATCACCAACGATTCTTGGCAAATGAGGTTTCTCATGATGATCTTCAGGAGAAAAAGTTCTAGGGTCAGATACATGCGGGGAGTGCTTTCTGTTGTACGTTCCTTTCTTCTTGAGTATTCTTGGCACCTGTTAGCTGTGGAGGCTCCTCTTGGGGATCCCCCACCCTTTAGTTATCAACACCTCTGAGATGTTGAACGCAGCATTTCCTGAAAACATGGGACCCCAGAACATTCATTTCTGTCTCCCCAGATACCTGTTGACTCCAGCAGAAACAGCCTGCACCCCACTGGTCCACACTGTGACTCGCAGGCCTGCGGTCCAGCGGCTGGCACAAGCGACGGCACTAGGAGGCAGTGGACCTGGCACGTCACTCATGTGACTAGTAAGTGCCGGAGACACGTGTCAACACAGACGGTGTGAGAGCCATGCTTGTTGCCATGTACAATCTGACGAGGTTGTTGGCTTGCTCTGTTTTTCTGAAATTTGGAATGTGTTTAGGACACAGATCCACAGATGTGCTTTTCCGTAAAGGGCCCAGGCAGTGCATATTTTAGACACTGGGGACCAGAGGGTCTCGGCTGCCAGGGCCACCTTGCCCCGTAGTGTGCGAGCAGCCGAGAGTCCACGGTGGAAGGCACGGTGGGTCCAACAAAAGCTCCCACTCTGTCATTTTCGCCTGTCACAGTTTTCTTCTGTCTTTTCCCCCAACCACTTAAAAATATAAAAGCCACAAAAATAAAAGGCAAAATAAAAATATAAGAGCTGCTCCTGGCATGGGCCCTCGCCCGCCGGCAGATGGGCAGGACTCGCCTGCGTAAGCAGATGACTGGCAGCGGGAGAAGCAGCTCCTTGGCCGGCGGCTGGTGGCGTGGGCGCCAGTCTGCAGCTGCCAGCTCAGCTGGAGGGCATGTGTGGGCAGCTGGCTTTGCCCCTGCAGCCTGGAAGAGGTGAAAGACCAGACTGCTGTCCACCCTGGAAGGAGGACATCAGCCCAGTCCCGGCCCCACCATGTGCTGCCTGGAGCCGTTTCTGAAGATGTCCCCGGTGTTTCTGCTCCTCCTGGGCCTCGCGCAAGCCTGCATCCCTCGAGAGGGTAATGGTCCCCGGGCATCTTGGGCTGGGTTCAGACAGGCCCCGAGGCCTCACAGATGCCCCTTGTCCAGGCCTAGGCGTCGGGTTTCCTCTTCCCTTGGAGGAGGTGGCCGGGTGGGCGAGTCCCCGTTTGCTGGCCCAGCCTTGGAGACGCGCACGCCGGTGTCTGCGTCCTGGTCCTTACTGATGGCTTCTTGCACTCACTCTCCTCATCCCACTAGTGGGTCATAGGGTCCCCAGTTCCCAGGACTGCTCGCGCCGTTGAAGAGGTTGCTGTTGTGTAGATGCAGGACTTGACATCCCCACAGAGAGAGGATCCAGTGAGACTCCGGCCCCTGCGATGTGCGGACACCGGAGAGCATGCTGGGAAGGGACTCCCTCCTCAAGTGCTCGTGCCACTCCTGGCTTGCTCCACATGCTCAGGGCTGGGGACCCAGAGGTGTCCTTCTGGGATCCCCATGCTAGGCCAGCAAACGCGCCCTGACTGGGGACCCAGAGAAGGTCTGTCCAAGACCCCAGTGAGGCGCAGGGCTAGCAGCTGAAGAGTCAGGAGACTGTCCAGGCAGGCAGAGCTGCGCGTGCAAAGGCCCTGGGGCAGAAGGCCCCGAGGAAGGTGGACAGATGGAGGAGGAGGTGGGGGACAGTAACAAGAAGGGAGAGGGCCTGGCAGGGGGTCTGAGGGCTTCTGAATGTCTTCCTCAGGGTGAAAGGAAGTGTCTCACACTACTAGGAAGGGAGTGCGGCATGTGTGTGTGTGTGTGTGTGTGTGTGTGTGTGTGTGAGAGAGAGTGAGAGAGAGAGAGAGAGAGAGAGACAATCAGCTTTTCCCCAGGGTGAGGAATGGTTTGGGTGGGAATCAGAGTAGAAGCAAAGTCACAAATTCAGACATGTCAGTCACCAGGAGGAGAGCAGCATGAGCAGGTGACAGACGTGGAGGAGCAGGAGTGGGGACCCGGTGCTGGAAGTCAGGGAATAAGGAGCAAGGGCCCCCCGTTTCCCTTCTGTGATCAAGGCGGCCCCTGACAGGCAGGAGGGCGCTGCCGAGCACGGTGCCACCCCGGGTTCCCGAATTCCCTCACCTGCTTCCTCCAGCGTCACTCCTTCCTACCGCAGCCCCGCAGCACACGAGAGCCACACCACACAGAGCTGAGGCCCAAAGACAGATCGCACTCAAATGTCTCCCCTTTCCCTAATGGACGGCCTCTCCTGGAGGATCGGCCGGGGTCCTCTTAGCGCTTCCTCACACGGGGCCACGGGCTCCAGGCTAACACTCGGGCTTGGGCCCCCAGTCTCCCTTGTCTCTTTTGAGCTCAGGACATCTGGACAGCTCTGGTCAGTTGTCCTCGGAAGGTCTCTCAACCCGGGTTTGTCTCAAGTTCTCCCTCGATGGGACTGAGGCCAGGCACTTGGGACAGGAGTGCCACAGATGTGGGTCTCACGGTGCTGCTGGGTCTCACTGCGCATGTTGACTCTGGCACGTTGGTGGAGCTGCTCTGCCAGCCTCTCGTTACCGGTTCTCCGTGGTGGGCACCACGTCTCGGGGGGTACCTGGAGAATATGTAGATGTCCTGCTTCTCCTCCACGTTGGCCCACTGGTTTCAGCATCCATCCGTGCATTTCGCCTGCAGATGGGATCACTGTAGTGTTCCTCCAAGGGCGATTTTCCTGTCCCCCTTGTTCCTTTCACATGCATTAATGGAATTTCTCTGTAAGGAAGTGCTGACCCTTCTCCCTCATTCACTTCTTTTTCCTTCAAGTTTTTGTATCCGTGTGAACTCATGGGTATCTACTGCATCAATAGATGCATTTTGAGGGCAGCAGAGTGATGACCAGAAACTCCCTCTGGGCTTGCTGAGTCTGAAGTGTCGGCAGATGACCGAGACATTCACGGACTCCAGGTTCCATGAGCACAGGGCTTGGGAAGTGTTATTTACTCCTGCCCTCACAGCTTTCCTCCCATCAGATTTGCAAAGGCCCACAGAGCAGGGGCTGTGTCTGATGTTTCTGTGTCTCTAGCAGGAGGTACAGACCAGCGTCTGGAGAGTAGACCAAGGGAATGTTGGATGGTCGGATGGATGGTTGGGTGGATGGTTGGGCGGATGGTTGGGCAGATGGTTGGGCGGATGGTTGGGTGGATGGTTGGGTGGATAGTTGGGTGGATAGTTGGGTGGATGGTTGGGTGAATGGTTGGTGGATGGTTGGGTGGATGGTTGGGCGGATGGTTGGGCAGATGGTTGGGTGGATGGCTGGGTGGATGGTTGGGCGGATGGTTGGGTGGATGGTCGGATGGAGGTTGATGGATGATGGATAGGCAGACAATGGATAGGTAGAGGGATAGACAACAGACAGACGGATGGATAGATGGGTGAATGAGGGTTGGGTGGATGGAGAGATGGGTGGCAGGTAGACGGATGGATGGGCAGACAGATGACCTGGGTAGCTTCATTGATACAAAGAATGGATGAATCATCTTTCCTCCAGGGACACACCTGCTCTAGTCTTCTTGGTTACTGTCGTGATCTGAGCCTAATGCTTACTTTTCTCCCTGCTCCCTGCTTCTGATCCTGTTGGAATCCGAATGGCTGACACTTTCACCCCCAGTCGCAATTGAAGAAAAAAGTAAGAACTGTGATACCCTCAGCTCTCTATCCCCACAGCTAGCACCTCTTGACTCCCTTGGATCTGGAGATGCCCCTGGGAACTCTGGGGAAGAGGGGCCCCCGACTCTAGCTGGATTATGGTCTAGGGGGCCTCTGAACATTTAAAATTTAGTAAGAACCCCAAAGAGCTTATTTTTCTAGTTTGGGTGATCTTTATTGATGTTTACTTTATTATAAACTAAACTAAACGTTCCTAATTAAAAATATTTATTTGCAAATGGCCAATAGCACAGGGAAGATGCCCCACATTGTTAGTCACCAGGAAAATGCAAGTAAAACCACAGCAAGATTCCCGTAGACACCCTCAGATGACGCATTACAAAAGAGGGACGGAGGGCAGGTGATGTGGCTCAGTTGGTAGAGTGCTTGCCTCACATGCACAAGGCCCTGGGTTCAATCCCCAGCACCAAAAAAGAGAGGGATGGTAACAAGTGCTGGCCAGGACTCAGGAGGAATCAGAGCTCTCCTCTTTCCCCTCTGTGGAGGAGAGCCCTGCTCCTGAAAATGCTAAACATTGAGTCACACACAATTCCACTATTTTTTTTCTTGTGGTGCTGGGGATTGAACCCAGGGCCTTGTGCATACGAAGCGAACACTCTACAAATTGAGCTATATCCCCCCAGCCCTGGCAATTTTACTTCTAAGTACATGCCCGAAAGAAATCAAAATAGGAGTCTACACAGGCACTTGAGCATAGATATTCATAGATGCTCTCTTCATAATAGTCAAAAAGTGGAAGTAGCCAAGTGACCTTTAACTAATGAGTGGCAAACACAAGGGGGTCTGTGCGTACGGTGGATTACTGTTTAGCCGACCGTGGAATATTATTCAGCCGTAAAAACAAAGAGCCAACAGATTGCTGCAGCATAAATGAACCTCCAGAACCTCCTGCTCAGAGGAAGTGCCTGTCGTTTTCAGTTGTCTGAATCCACTGATATGTGACACCCCGAGAGGCAGATCCATAAAGACAGAAGTGTGGTGGTGGTTGCCAGGGGCTGGGCGTAGAATTGGGGGTGATGCCAGACACGGTGGCGCACGCCTGTAATCCCAGCGGCTTGGGAGTCTGAGCAAGAGGATCATGAGTTCAAAACCCCTCTCAGCAACTTAGTGAGGCCCGAAGCAACTCAGTGTCGGGTTGGGGCTCAGTGGTTAAGCACCCCTGGGTTCAGTTCCCAGTACAAAAAAAAAAGAATTGGGGGGTGATGATTATGGGGTGTAGGGTCTATTTTTGAGGTGATGAAATGCACCAAAATTGATGTGATGAATGCATGCACAAATCTAATCTGGAAAATACAGAAATGGGTGAATGGTACGGTATGCCGATCACACCTCCATACAGCTATAGCTTGCATGCTTATTACTTCATTAAAAATAAGGATAAAAACACACACAACATATTAACATAAAATATTTTAATGAAATGACTTTTTTCCTAAGCCAAGCCAATCTGGTGGGAGGAGGGGGGTCGCTCTCCCCGTTGCGAACTCCTTTAAGGTCTGGCTGACAGGAGCTGAGGTCTCACTTCTGGCTTCTGGGTCCCCTCTGTTGTGACGCTCTGTTTTGGTTGAAGCCCAATCTCCCCGACAGGGAGGTGGGAAAGGGAGGATCATGACCTTTTGGGCCGTCGGGGACTCTCCAGAGGACAGATCAGCAGCCCAGAGCGGGAGGGGCCTCTAGGGAGAAGGGCTTGCTCAGTCCCGTAGAAGTCCCGTATGGGCCAGGTGCAAGCCGGGCAGCCAGGGGCGTTGCTCTTGTGGCTGTCCCAGTTCCAAACCCCCGGAACCGGGAACACTGATGGGGAATCTCACTTTAAGGCCAAAGACCCAGGGGCCTGGGGGACATTGGTCTAAGACCTGGAGTCCCACAGGTGTCACAGAACCTGGAGCTGGACGTCCAGAGACAGGAGGAGATGGGCGTCCGAGTGCGGGAGCAGGGCCGGGGCCTGGCCTCCTCTACCTCTGTGATCCCTAGAATGGAGCCCAGCAGGCCCAGAGCAGACCTCCCTGCTCAGTCCAGCCCTCATGCCAGTCCCCTCCAGAGACCCCCTCACACATGCACCGGGGCAGCCTGGCCATTCTCGCACAAGACAGGCACCAGGCTTCCCTTCAGAAAAGGGAGTGGCGCGCTGAGATGGATGCCGCAAGGACTGAGGAAGCATCCCGCCAGCCACCGGGGCACCCCCAGCCCAGTCAGTGAGACGCGCCAGATCAGCCATGGCCCCTGGAAGGCCCCAGGCCCCGGTGGTCCCTGGATGGGACTTTGAGAAGAGTGTCTTTCTCTCCCACCCCTGCAAGCCTGCAGACTTCCAGAGGACAGGGACTGGTGCATCTGTTCCTGAGGCCTAGGACAGTTCCTACAGAAAGGGCTGTCCAAACTGAGAGTGTTGGCAAACACGGACGAATGCTATGCCCCAGACCAAAGGAAGAAGCGGAGGGCCGGGGCCCGCTCCAGGCACCCAGCGTGTCCTGAGGGTTAAACGTGGAATGCAACTTAGCTTTCAAACTAGTGCTGTCCCCAAGGAGCCCGAGGCTGTCAGCGCTCCGGATCCTACACCGTCACTCACCTGGGACGTCCCAGAGCATCCAGGCCCCGCCCAGCCCTGTCAACCCACAGGCCTCAGGTGACAGTCTGGACCCTTTCACTGAGAAGCTCGCCTCTCGGTTTGGAAAAACCTGAATAAAGGCAAACTCCTCAGGGGTCACACTTCAGTCTCTTCGCAGTGCACCGTTTTAATTGTTTGATTTTTATTTTATGTTAAATTACTAACGTATTAATATCTAGATTAGTTATATAGATTACCATTTGCATTAACATTTAATAATATTTGAATCAATAATTAAATATTTAAGATATTATGCTGTTTTAACCTAAAATATTTTACTTTCACTTAATATATAAGATTTCCAGGGGGCTGGGGTCGTAGCTCAGTGGCAGAGGGCTGGCCTAGCAAGTGTGAGGCACTGGGTTCGATCCTCAGCGCCACATGAAAATAAATAAAACCAAGGTAATGTGTCCATCTACAACTAAGAATTTAAAAATAATAAGATTTCCAGCATTTTAAAAGTTCTCCAGATTCTACTATAAAAATCTCCTTCCCTACCTATTGCCCAGTTCTCCTTCCTGAAGGAACACAATATTCTTTTTTTTTTTTTTTAATTTTTGCTTGATACCAGAGATTGAATCCAGGGGCACTTAACACATCCCCAACCCACTGTTTTTATTATTATTATCATTTTATTTTGAGACAGGGTCTCACTACGTTGCTGAGGCTGGCCTTGAACTTGCCATCCCCCTGCCTCAACTCCTGAGCTGCTGGGGAAACAGGTGTGTGCCACCACACCCAGTTAATCCCAGTTCCTTGAAGATCCTTCAGAGACGTGTGCTGGCACGCTCCAGGTCTCTGTGTCTGTTTTACCTAACAGTCAGTAAGTCGCACAGGCGGCTCTGCGTGGGCCTGCGTCCTCCACCTGCAGTGCCCCCTGAACACTGCCCCGGCAGTTGGCTGTGTGGTCTTTCTCGAGTCATGTCCACTCTTTTATCTAAGCAGTCACTCACTGGTGGGCACCCGGGGTGCTTCCAGGAGTTTGCTCTTTTAATCAAGGCAGGAACTCATCCTGTGTGAGGTCAGACCCGTGGGAGACACTCAAATCTATGACCATATATCGTAGGCATCCGTAGAATCACGTCAATGTATGCAGTAGTCCCTCGGCATCCAGGACCCTCCCGCCCCGACTACCCAAGGACACCTCAATCTGGATGTTCAGATCCCATGTAAACGGGGGGGTGGGATCTGCCTCTAACCTACTCACCTATCCATCCCTAGATTTCCTATTGAACCTAGTACACTGTAAACACTTGATGCCTGCGTAGTGTGTTGTTGAGGAGGGAGTGAAGAGTGGGGAATGTCGCACATATGCAGGTTTGTCCAGTAGCGGGGACTGAACCCAGGATGCTTGATCAGAGAACTACATTCCCAGCACGTTTTACTTTTGATTTTTTTTTGTGGGGGGTAGTACTGGGGATTAAACTCAGGGGGAACTCAACCACTGAGCCGCATCCCCAGCCCTATTTTGTATTTTATTTAGAGACAGGGTCTCACTGAGTTGCTTAGTGTCTCACTCTTGCTGAGGCTGGCTTTGAACTCACGATCCTCCTGCCTCAGCCTCCAGAGTCTCTGGGATTACAGGTGTGCACCACCTTGCCAAGCTGCAAATGCAACTTAATATATATATTAAATATATTTTATATATTTGTACACACACACACACATTTCTGTCTGTTGTGGGTTGAATCCTTGGGTGCAGACCTGCGGGTTTGAGGGCTTACCGAGTACGTGTAGGATTAGATACAGATCTGGGCTCACCTATCACACGAGACGCTAGTTACCTATTAGGCCCCAGGCTGTGGGTATATGTACAGAAGTGGCCTGTGAAGCCCATTTCTAACTGTCCAACTAAGGGCTCTCAGCAGGGCTCGGAGGTGCTCGCCTGTAATGCCAGCAGCTTGGGAGGCTGAGGTAGGAGGACCAACCTCGGCCATTTAGGGAGGTGCTAAGCAACTCAGTGAGACTCGGCCTCTAAATAAACACCAAAAAGGGCTGTGGGTGTGGCTCACTGGTTCAGGGCTCCTGAGTAGCCTAGGCCACACGTCCTCGGAGGGCGGAGGGCTGCCTGGCATTAATTGACCCTCTCTCCTCCTGCCTTTGTTTTCCGCTGACCCCGACCTCTGACTCCGTCGTCCTTCAGTCAAACGTGAGTCACTTCTCCCTCCCCATGTGCGTCAGGGTCCTTGGCCCACAGGGGGGGACCAGGGAAGCTGCACCAGGGCCTGACGCCCCACCCAGGGCAGGTGGGCACACCAGAACCCCCTGGGGGGCCTGGTGGGACCACAGGACGGACCCCCGTGTGCCCCGGGCCTCGTGGGAGGCTGGGTGTGTGCGAGACGGCAGGAGAACCCGGGGTTGCTGATGGCACCCCCGTGTCCACTGTGCAGCGGGCTAGATGTGAGTGGCCACAGGTGGGTGAGAGTAGCCCTGCAGGGTGCACACACCTCCCTCCTTTGCCAGAGTTACCGTCCTGGCCTCCAGCTGAGAAGTGGAGGTGACAGGTTCCCAGCTGCACCCTGGGGTTTCTGAGGTCTGGGACAAAGGGACCCTTGGGAGGGGCCGCCACGCCCCCGCGTCCCAGTAACTTATCTGCCTCAGGGCGGGTGGGGGGCAGTGAGGAGCTGGGTGTTAATTCATCTCACATTCTCTCCAAACCTTGGTTGGCAAAACGATCCCGCTGCCCGCTGCCCGCTGCCCGCTGCTGGACGTCCACAGTGCTGAAAGGTGAGGTTCTCCCTCCCCTCAGTCCTCACAGCCCTGACCCAGCAGAGGTGGCCTCTGTGGGCCTCCACCCAGCTCTCCTTCTCCGGGTGTCCACTGCCCACTTCTGGGGCGGGAACCGAGGAGCAGGAGCTACCCCTGACAGAGAGGAGCGCCGTCCCTCCCCCTGAAGCAGGAGCGTCCCCGTGCCAGCTGCAGCGTGCGCTGTGACCCGACAGGAAGCCCCTGGGCTGGGGGCTGATTTGGCCTGCCCGAGAGCTGACCTTGGTGCACACTGATGTCCATCTCCGCCTCCTGAGGTCGGGTAGAACAGCGGCCACCAGCACTGTGGGAAGTCCCCACGGACGTGGTCAGAGCAAGTCAGTGACCACACCTGGGGACTGGTTCACAATTTTGCAAGGCGAGAGGCCAAGTCAGGAAGCCAGATGAGGACCCTCAATGACGGGGGCAAAGGTTCAGCTCTGAGCACCTCTGTGCCACCTTCCTAGCTGGGCAGCCTTGGAGAGGCGACCTCACCTCTCTGGGCCTTCACAGGACTAAATGCTGCTTACAGATGTGAAACCCGTTCACCAAACCCAGGAATCCAGGACTAAGCTCTCCCTGCTCTGCCCTCCGTACCACACGTGCCCACGCACACTCATACACACTCACCCTCACACACACACTTACACACTCACACAGAGACACACACACTCTCACCCTCACACACACACACTCACCCTCACACACATACACGCACACTCTCACACACACTCACACTCATACACTCTCACACACACTAACACACACACTCTCACACTCACACACATACACACACTCACACATACACACTCACATACTCACACACAATCTTACACACTCTCTCACACACTCACACTCACATATACACACTCACACACACACTCTCTCACTCTCACATACGCACTCAGACACACACACACTCTCACCCTCACACACTCACACACACACTCACCCTCACACAATACACGCACACTCTCACACACACACACTCACACTCATACACTCTCACACTCACTCACACACTAACACACACTCTCACACTCACACAAATACACACTCATACACACTCACATACACACAATCTTACACACTCACATACTCACATATACACTCTCACACACACACAGTCTCACACTCACACACATACACACACTCTCACACAAACTCTCATGCTCACACATACACACACTAACACACACACTCACACACTCTCTCTCACACACACTCACACACTCACACACACACTCACACACACACTCATACACTCACATTCACATACACACACTCACACACACTCTCACATACACACACTCACATACTCACACACATAATCACACGCACACAACACACTCTCTCACATACTCACACACACTCTCACACACACTCTCACACTCACACACATAATCACACACACTCTCACACACATAATCACACACACTCTCACACACACACACTCATACACTCACATTCACATACACACACATACACACACTCACATACTCACACACATACACACACAACACACTCTCTCACACACACACTCACATACTCACACACACTCTCTCACACACACTCTCACACTCACACACATAATCACACACACTCTCACACACATAATCGCACACACTCTCACACACACACTCACACTCATACACTTTCACACTCACACACATACACACACTCATACACTCACATTCACATACTCACATACACTCTCACATACACTCTCACACACACACTCACACACACTCACACACACACTCATACACTCACATTCACATACTCACACACACTCACACACACATACTCACATACTCACACACTCTCTCTCACACACACACACACACTCACATACACACACTCTCACGCTCACACACATACACACACACTCATACACTCACATTCACATACTCACACACACTCTCACACAGTCCCTCTCACACACACTCTCACACTCACACACTTACTTACACACACTAACACTCACATACTCACACACACACTCACACTCACACTCACACACACTCTCTCACACACACACTCACACTCACACACGTACTCACACACACTAACACTCACATACTCACACACACACTCACACTCACACACTCTCACACTCACACACATACACACACACACACACCACTACTGGGAACGCACTGGTGGCTGCCGTCACCACTCACCTGTGCCTCTGGTGTTGGCCTTGTCACCTTGGCTGGGCGAGGTGCTCGGCACACCCCCGACTGTCACCACACTCAGTGGGAGTGGGGGGCCCACTTTGCAGGGCTCAGAGTTGGTGACCCTCCCGTGACCACCAGGTGGTGAAAGGCGCGGCTGGGGACCCAGCCCTCGGCCGTGCACCACTCCTGACCGCGGAGGGCACAGACTGCAGGGCACCCAGGTGGCCAGGAGGATGCTTTGTGGAAGAGGAGGTGGACCTAGGCGGAGGAGGGGGAGGTCTGCGTGTGGGTGTCACCGAGAGCTCTGTGTCCCCACTGGCAGTGCAGGGACAATGCTCTGGTCCCTGCGGCCGCGGTGGGGCAGCGGAGCCTCCCTCTGGAGCCAGGAGTGCTCCTCCTTCCCTGCCCAGCCAGGCTGCAGCGACCAGGCCTGCCTTCCAGCCCCTCCGGCCCGCTGAGCCCCTGCCGGAGGCCGGCCTGGTCCCACTGCCCAGGGTGGCTGCCTGGGTCCACTCCCAGCCCTTCCCCGCCCAGCGTCTCATCTCCTTTTCTTCTCTCTGGTGCGACTTGGTCTCTGCGACCCTTGGGCCCAACGTTCTGCTGCCGTGTCTGTGACGCCCGTGACGCCCCGCGCTGCTCCTGGATGGGCGGCTCTCAGGGATCGTAGGTAGGTACCTGCCACACACGGCACCTGGCCGGGGACTTCTGAACTCTGTGCCTGCCCTCACGCTGGGGCCACAGAAGCCCGGACACAGTAGGTTCACACTTCAGCAGCTCAGCCCTGGTGGAACTGACAGGTGACACAAGCCTCAAGGGACATTTCAGTCACCACGGGCCCCACCTAGGCAGTGGTCCCAGGTCACAGTGCGGTGATGCCAGAGCCCCTGAGGCATGAGCTACACTCTGTGGCACTGCACCGCGGAGATCACCTCACCCGGGTCCAGAGGGAACTTCAGAGGCCAGGGCCCCTGCAGAGGACAAGGGCCGGTGGCAGTGTGCGGAGGCCCTAAGCGTGGCCACACTTCCTGGGAGGAGAGGTGCTGAGTCGGCAGGGCGGGGGACCCCTGTGGGCCTCTCCCCTGCGGGCCGCCCCCTGCAGGCCTCTCCCCTGCAGGCCTCCCCCTGCGGGCCTCTCCCCTGGGGGCCTTCCCCTTCTGGCCTCTCCCCTGCGGGCCTCCCCCTGGGCCTCTCCCCTGCGGGCCTCCCCCTGCGGCCTCTCCCCTGCAGGCCTCCCCTGGGCCTCTCCCCTGCGGGCCTCCCCTGGGCCTCTCCCCTGTAGGTGCTCATGACCCTCCTCTCTCCTCCCTCAGGTCTGATGAGCAGGCTCTCCCCGGATGGTGAGTGGGGGTCCCCCGCTGGCCCTGGCCCTTCTCCCTCCCTCCACAGTGCTACACTCCCTGGGCCCCGGGCTCTGGATGTACCGGCTGCAGGTTCTGTCTACTGGAGTTTGAGTGAACTGGCCCCTTCCTTGCCTCAGGAGGCACAGCCGGAGTCTGACCGAGTCAGCACCATCCCGCCGCTTTCCCTGAGTTTTAGAAATAGGATATGCACATGGGGAAAGTCCAGGGAACGCAAAGTAAGAGCCAGGCCATCTGCTTCGTCTCCTGCCCAGTTCTGAGGACCAGCGGCAACACGGTCACCTGTGTCCTGTGTGTTCTTACAAAAGCACCACACAGGAGCTTTGCTCTGCAAGTTAGAAATGGTAGTGCGTCTTCCCTCCTTCTCTCCCACACCTGGCCGTGCGGTCACACCTGAGGAAGGGCCCTCTGGTCAGTTTCGTCCTGTTTTTACTCAGGGTTGTGTCTCACTGCCGTCACAAGCCCTGCTGCAACGAGCATTGCATGGCTTCTCGGGCTTTGCAAGCTCCATTCTGTTCAGTCCCTCAAAGGGGAACGGTGCAAGCAGGGGCGCGTGCAGGTCAAGCCTGGACAAGGTGCACAGACCCGCACCCCACAAACAGCCTGGAGGAGCGCCGCTCACGCCCAGGGTGACACCTGACTTCTCACATTCCAACATGTGGGGCTGAAGACAGTCGGCCCCCGCGAGCTCTCCCAGTGGACCGAGCCCTGGTTTTCTTTGCCCTCGGTTCTCATCTTTTAAAAGGAAACTTTGCCTCGTTTGAGTAAGTGGACAGCAACAACCACAGGCCGTGAGGAGACAACGCAGGCTAAGCAGGTGAGAGCCGAGCGCTGCTACCTGGACGCCGCTCTCTGCCGCGGGTTCTCCTGGGCAGCGAGGTTAGCCAGCGCCAGGGGCTCAAGACCAGTGGGCTCCGAAGAGGCTCGGCTTGTGCTACAAGATGCTCGGGGAGTTAGAGCCCAGTCTGCACCTATCACCAGGAGACTTGTTGGTCTGCGGCCATCACCAGGCGCCTCCTGTGGGTCCTTCGCACACCTGGAGTCTTGGCCCAGCGCCCTCGTCCACTAGCAGCCCAGCGAGGAGGACCTGCCTTGGCCCCTGCCCAGCAGAGTGGCAGCGCTCACTGCACAGGTGGGCACACAGGACCATGAAATGTCAGAGGACGGCGTCCCCTCTCCGCTCCTGTGGCTCCGCTGCTCCTCAGAGCCAGTGGCTCTTGGTTCTCCCCACCCTGGGGGCAAGACAGCTGTGCTCGGCTTGCTGTCTCTGCAGGGGAGTAGGAGGCGCCCTCTCGGCTCCCTGGACAGGTGTGCACCTGCAGTGGAGGAGCTCGGTGAGGATCCGAGCCTCAGGAGGGGCCAGCTCACCCCTGCTCTCCTCCTGTCTCCCCCTGCCCGCCCGTGCAGCCGCAGACCCTCCAAGCCACCCCCACAGGGCCCCCAGCCATGACGGCAGCCTCTGTGCCCCTGAACCGCCTGTGGACGGCAGTGCACCTCACCAAGGGCAGCATGTTCTCATCCACACGCAAAGCGCCTACTACGGAGCCAAAGCTCAATCTAATGCAGCCGTTGCCAGGCACCCCAGGCGGAACCCCGGTAGAAGAGCAGCACCCTCTTAGTGCCCCGCAGAGGTCAGCAGAACCAGCCTGGAGCTGGGCTGGAGGAGCCGGAGCCCTCCTGGGGCTGGGGTTCGTTGGCCTCACTTACAGGAGGGGAATCTGAGGCCTGGGAAGAAGCAGAGCATCAGAGACAAAGGAGCAACTAGGAAGCATTCATGGAGCGCCCTGAGGGAGCCGGCGGGTGCTCGCTCTTCAAATGCAGTCTCTGCGGCACCCGAGACGGCAGACGCCTTTGGAACCTGGACCCGCCAGCTTGGCCTCGATTCTGGGACTTCCCGTTTCAGTACCGAAGCCCTCACGTCCTAGGAACCTGTCAATCCTGGGCGAACCAGGACGGTTGGTCTCCACCCATGGTTTGCGCTGCTGATGAGACCAAGGGTTCAGCTGCTGGCGCTCACCAGCTAGCAAGCAGCAGGGCCACGCCCAGCTCACGTGCACATGCTCAGAGTCCCCTGCCTCCCCGAGGGACTCCCTGAGACGCCCGCCTGTCCGGGCACTCAGCTGAACCCCAGGTCCTTTTCCATCCTTCAGACTCTGGACTCCTTCCCAGCCAGGACCGTGCCCACACGACAGCCCTCTGTCCTGGACCCTTTGCTCCTTCTCCTCCCAAATCCTTTTGCCCCACTAACCCCTGCTCATCTTTCAGGTCTCAGACACATCAGCCCCTCCAAGATGCTTCCCCTGGCTCCCCCACAAGGTCAGCACCGGCACCCACAGGCTCCTCAGCCCTGAGGTCGGCCCACAGCTCCCCCTGACCTGTCCCCCGCTTCACAGTACCTCTGTCACCTGCGCCTCGGAGGAGACTGCACCCCGGGCCTGTGCCCATCGCCCTCGCTGCGCTGTGCCTCACCTTGCCCTGCCTGCACGGGGCACTCCCCGTGGCTCTCGGAGGAAGCCACACTCCAGCAGGGCATCTGTCTGCACCGTCAGCCCTGGGGCTCGCTGGCATCTCCAGCCCTGGTCTCCGAGGGGTCGGGACTTGTCAGCCAGTCCAGGGCCTGAGTCCTAACGCCTGTCTCTCTCTCTGCTCTGCATCTCCCCTGGAACCTGGCTGCCTGCCTTCCTGCCTCAGATAGGACAGAAGAAGAAAGTAAGTCCCGGGACAGTGGTGCTCCCCAGCTGGATTCTCACACCCTCTGGGCCTTGAGACCCCTTTGAAAACTTGGGGGAGGCCTGGTGCAGGCCCTGGCATTGGGCCTTGGTCGGGGTCAGGAGAGGAATCACTGTGGTATGTACTCAGCACCCGGCCACCTCTGCGGGATGCAGGGAAGGCGCCCTGAGATAGAGCGGTTGCTGTTTCCCATGGCTGGTTCCAAGTCGCTGCTGGCTTAGATGGCCCAGTCCCCTGAACATCTAGTGGCCATGGCCATTGTGTGCAAGCCAGGGAATAGCTCCGAGGGAAGGCGCTCTCTGAAAGGAGAAGAGGTGACCTGGGGGGCTCATTCAGCGCTGATAGCAGAGCACGAGCCTGTTCACCCTGAAATCTCACCACAGCTCCAATCAGATGGAGCCCAGTCATAAAGCATGGGGCCCCCAAACTAGCTGATCACCCCAAAACTTTTTCCAAAGCCAGGTTCCTTCCTGACTGAAAAGGCTGTTACGGAAGTCCACTGATCTCTGAGCTAGAGCGAGGTCCTCAGGCCTTTGTTTGGGGTGAGGTTCTGGGATCCCAGCTCAGGTCTGAGGGAGGGGGCTCCATTGGTGCCACCCTTCGGGGAGGCTGGGGATGGGGAACATCAGACAGATGTTCAATGTCTCCAGAGCATGCTCTGCACGTTTAAAGGGGCACTGAGGCACAATAAGAGCCCGAGGGGTTCATCTGACAAACAGTAGTTGGTCAGTGGAGCAGCTGCAGGCCAGCTCCACCAGGGACATCAGGGCGGCCTCGGAGGACAGGCCCCAGGCAAGGCCAAGACCTGGCTCAAGGGGGAACACTGCACACGTCCCTGGTCAGGACGACCAGCACCTTGGCCGTTCTGCCTGGCTGATCCTGAGTTCTGCCTTCCTCCAATGTGATGCAGGGTGAGAATCCCGCATCTGGAACACCCGGGGCCAGAAGCATTCCACATCTGACTCTGTTTAAACTTTACCAGTTGAACATCCCCAACCCCAACCCTCCAAAAGCTGAAAAGCTCCCAAATCCCAAACCTCCTGAGCATTGTGCTGGCTCAGGAGGCCCAGCTGCAGCTCCCGGATCTCAGGTGTCGGTGAGGGCGCTCAAGCCGCTCAGGCACCCGCAGGGGACAGCTCCAGGTGCCTCTGTGCCTGGCCTGGAGGGCCACTGTCTGCCCCGGGCTCCCTCTGGCCTGTCCTCCACCCAGCGGAGCTTTAAGGGAAAAATGTGTCTGGCGCAGGAGGAGCGGCCCCAGGCTCTCTCTCTCTCTCTCTCTCTCTCTCTCTCTCTCTCTTCCATGTGACTCCTGGTGACGGTCCCTGCAGTGAAGAGTGAGTGGTTTTCCTTTCCTACCTGGATGTGCTTGGGTCCCGGGAGGAAGGAAGGAGGGAAGAACTCCGGGGGCCCGGACTCGGGCGTCCTGCAGAGGCTGTCCGGGCTGCCCCCAGAGCTGGGAGGAGAGCCCGGGGTGTGTCCTGGAGCGTCCAGCTGCCGAGCTCCCAGAGGCCCCAGATGGGAAACACGGAAGGGGAACCGAGCACGTCCTTCTATTCCTAGGGAACAGAGGAGCGGGAGCCCTCCGCCGGCTTCCCCACCTGCCCCAGCGGGGACCCAAGGCTCCGGGGCTCCCTGATCTCTTTAGGAGGAGCCCGCAGGGAAGCAGGGCACCCGGGAACTCTCTCCTGGGGGGCCGGGCTGCACCCAGCAAGGCCTCCAGCCCTCTGGGGCGCGGGGTGAGACGGGAGGGTGTCTCTGACTCTCTTCTCCTCTCTGCTCTGCACTTCACCGACCTTGCCGGACCCTCCCTCCCTGCCGCGCTCACGGCTCACGGCTCCACAGCACTGAAAGTTCACGTCTCTCCCTCTGCTTTGTCCACCTTCTTATCTCTGGCAGAGAAGTCTCTTAGCCCAGGGACTGGATAGATGACGATATGGCTTTCACCTTCCGAAAGGTGGGGCATCTTATCTGAGGGACCTCCTGGGACGAGGTCTGCAGAGGGCTGGTGGTGACCCTGAAACTGAGGGCTACCTAGGAGTCAGGTCTGTTTCTTCCCCGCCACTTCTTCCCCAGGCAGGCAGTATTTACCCACACTGTCGAAGGCACAGAGAGGTCCAGCAGCCAGACCCGGGTTGCACAGCCCCTTGTGGGGTGGGTAGGAGGCTGGTCTGCCACCACCTCCACTCTCAAGGAGACTCAAGTCTCCTGCACCCTCCTGCCTGGCCCTGCCCCCTTCCTGCTTCTGCCCCGGGGCTGAGGGAGCCCTGGAAGGTGTAGTCTGTGTCCCCGCCTCTTTGCGGCAGGAACGTCCAGGGTCCCCATGCCCCCTGTGGCTCGTGTGACTTTTCCTGGTCCCCTGCGTGGCTGCACCACACCTTACTCACCCAGTCACCCCCCTGAGAGACATCTGGGTCGCTTCTACCTCCCGGCCCACCTTCAAAGCTGTCTACACTCAGCCCAACACGCCATCTGGTCCGAGCCTCGAGCCACCTCCAAACCCCACCTTCATGCAGGAGGGGCTTCAGTCAAACCCAAGAGACCCCAGATGAAAAACAATGCTACACATCCCAGACCTGTCCCAAGTGCTGTGCTTGTCACCTCAAGAGGCCATCCTGTCCTACAAGTGAGGATGTTGCAGCAGAGAGGGAGAGTGACCTACTCAGATCACACAGCAAGGTGCCGATGAGAGTCCAGGCAGCCTGGACCCTGCTCTCTGGTCGCTGTCTCTGCCCACCCGGCTCAATGTGCTCCTAACCGTGATCTGATAATGCTTGAAGCACCTCCTATTAGCAGGTCCCTGCCTGGTTCTTGCACTGGGAGGGTTATTATCACCCTGTTGTTAAGGAGGGTGGAGTTCAGAGTGGGAACAGGAGGGTGTGGCCTCCTGGTGTAGCCCTGCTGCACACCCAGGGCTCTGAGGACTGGGAACTCACTCCACAGCCGAGGGCTCAGCCTCCTGGGGTCTGTGCTGCTGCCCTGCCCAGGTAGCTCCTGCCCCTGGGCCTGGGGGAGAAACAGGATCTGGCCCTTAGTGGAATGGTGGTCGGTGGGGAGGGTTTGCCGCTCTGAGGCGTCTGGATGCCTGGAGACATTTCTGCCAGAACCCAGGAGGTGGCGGGAGGCAGATGGCACCTGGCTGAACCGGGCAGGTTGCTGAGCACCTTGTGTAGAGCGCCCACAGCCAGACTCCTCTGGCCGACTCCAACTAGTGTGGAGGCTGAAGCCGCTGAGCACCGTGCCTGGGGTGGGGCTGGCGAGGGCTGTCCTGGCCAGCGGGCGCTGCTGTCTGCCCATTTCCCTGGGGCCTGCCCACCTCACGCTGCAGACACTTGAGCAGACAGCACCCTCCAAACAGCAGAGCAGCCTGCGCAGCAACAGGGAAAGCAGACCCAGAAAGCCCCCAAGGCTCGTGGGAGACCCACGTGCGCCAGGCCGCAGCCCGTGGTCGCCTCTTTCTGGAGGCCGGGTGGCAGTGGAGAGGCTGGGTGTTGAGGCCATGGACGGGGCTGGGGCTCCGCTCTGGGATGTAAGTCAACAGCCGGGGCTTTTGTCTTCTCCCCGAGGAGCAGAGGCTCTTCTCTTGGACTCAGAGATACAGAGCAGAGGTCCTCAACAGTTTCTTCCGTAGAGCACCCGGGAGCAGACATCTTGGGCTCCCTGGTGACTGCTCAACGCTGGTGCAGCCTGCCAATTGGTCAAGGTGGACTGGCTGTGTCCACTGAGGCTTTTAGGCCAAGGGCCTCAAGTGCCGGTCTGCCGATGAAGGGACGGAGAAAGGAAGTCAGCCACACTGGGAGGAGGCACGGCCCCCACACCCGAGCCTTGAGCACACGCGCTCAGGTGGGGAAGCCAGGCTCAGGCCATCTGTGGGAGATGTCCAGAACAGGCAGACCAGAGACAGGAAGGCCAGGGAACGGGGGTGGCCAGCCTGGGCGGGATTTGGAGACCACAGCTAACCTCGGGATTCTCTTTGGGGTGGTGAAGATGTCTAAGGTGGCCTGTGTGAAGTCTGCACACACCTGTGAACGTGCTAAGCCGCTGACTGCGCGGCTGCGGTCCTGTGGTCCTGTTCAGATGGGGTTGTTATAGCAGCAGGTTCAGAAGACCGTGCCACCCGCTGTGCACAGTGGGGAGGAGAGGGGTGCCCGCCAGGGCTTGCCCTCCGTGGCTGGCACCTCCCACCGGGTCTGACTGGGCTCTTCCTCCTCGTGGCCCACCTCTCGTGGACTCAACACTGTCCTGTGCCCCTGGACCACGCTGGCTTCTGGACCGAGGACAGAGATTCTGGGTGAGACTGTGGGAAGCTGGCCTTGGCCCTCCGATGTGCCAGGAGGAGTGGGTGGGCGGCCCTGACTGTGCTCCTGCTGGGGCCTCTGCAGTAGTCCCATGGGGGAGGTGGACAGCCACAGATCATCCAAGGACAGTATCAGCCGGTGTCCCGAGGGAGTGGGCGGAGAAGGGTGGTCAGGACAGAGAAAGTTCTGGAACCCAGCAGTCTCGTGGCCTGTGGGCGTGGTCTTGGTGACTCCCCCATCTGTCCTTGCCCTAGGCTTGCTGAGTCTTCAGGTGCTGAACGGTGAGTCGCCCCGTCTGGGTTTGCTCTGTGTTTGCTCCGGGCACAGAGGCACAGCACTCCCAGCTGCCCTGGGTGCAGCAGCCCGGAGGGCACAGAGGACCCTCTTGCCGCCCCCACAGCGGCAGCGTGAACGCTCTCACCTTTCCAACCATCCCGCAGCCTTAGGAAGCTTAGCTACTCCACGCTGAGCCTCATGCCAGGTGCAGGGGCAGAGCAGGGAAAAAACGGACAATCCCCAGCCAGAGAGGGTTGTCTAACCAACATGGTCTAACTGACCGACATGGTCTAACTGACCAACATGGTCTAACTGACCGACATGGTCTAACTGACCGACATGGTCTAACTGACATAGTCTAACTGACCGACATGGTCTAACTGACTGACATGGTCTAACTGACCAACATGGTCTAACTGACATGGTCTAACTGACCGACATAGTCTAACTGACCGACATGGTCTAACTGACTGACATGGTCTAACTGACCAACATGGTCTAACTGACATGGTCTAACTGACTAACATGGTCTAACTGACCAACATGGTCTAACTGACATGGTCTAACTGACTAACATGGTCTAACTGACTAACATGGTCTAACTGACATAGTCTAACTGACTAACATGGTCTAACTGAGTAACATGGTCTAACTGACCGACATGGTCTAACTGACATGGTCTAACTGACTAACATGGTCTAACTGACCAACATGGTCTAACTGACATGGTCTAACTGACTAACATGGTCTAACTGACCGACATGGTCTAACTGACATGGTCTAACTGACCAACATGGTCTAACTGACTAACATGGTCTAACTGACCGACATGGTCTAACTGACATGGTCTAACTGACTAACATGGTCTAACTGACCAACATGGTCTAACTGACATGGTCTAACTGACTAACATGGTCTAACTGACCAACATGGTCTAACTGACATGGTCTAACTGACTAACATGGTCTAACTGACCAACATGGTCTAACTGACATGGTCTAACTGAACAACATGGTCTAACTGACATGGTCTAACTGACTAACATGGTCTAACTGACATGGTCCAATTGACATGGTCTAGCTGACTAACATGGTCTAACTAACTAACATGGTCTAACTGACATGGTCTAACTAACTAACATGGTCTAACTGACTAACATGGTCTAACTAACTAACATGGTCTAGCTGACTGACTAACTAACATGGTCTAGCTGACTGACTAACTGACATGGTCTAACTGACTAACATGGTCTAACTAACTAACATGGTCTAGCTGACTGACTGACTAACTGACATGGTCTAGCTGACTTTCCAGAGGACCCGCGTCCCCCAGGAGGGCAGAGTGGCGGGGCGCACAGGCTTCACCCAGGCTTCTGGAAGGTCGGGTCGGTGGGGAGGGACTAGCAAAGGGCCAGAGAGCGGAGGGCGCAGGCCTGTGGGGTGTGTGGGCGGAACCCCAGGTGGGGAGCCACAAGGCAAAGGCCCTGAGGCAGGAGAGCGCCTGGCCGACAGCAAGGCCGCCACAGTGCCCTCACCCCACGGTCCCTCACCCCACCGTCCCCTCACCCCACCGTCCCCCTCACCCCACGTTCCCCTCACTCCACAATAACCCACGGTTCTCCTCACCCCAAGGTCCCCTCACCCCACGGTCCCCCTCACCCCACGTTCCCCCTCACACCACGGTCCCCTCACCCTACAATCCCCCCTCACCCCACAATCCCCCCTCACCCCACAATCCCCCCTCACCCCAGGGTCCCCTCACCCCAGGGTCCCCCTCACTGAGGGCTGGCGCTGTTCAGGGGTGATCTCCCTCTCCTCCCTTCCCCCTCCTCCTTCTTCTTCCTCCGCAGAAGAAACCAGTGACTGTAAGGAGGAAGGTGAGTGGCAGCCGGCACCCCGGGGGTGAGCGCCTTCCCTGGGGGGGTGTGTGTGAGTGGGGGGTGAGTGTGTGTGTGTGTGAGCGCCTTCCCTAGTGGGGTGAGTGTGTGAGTGCCTGGGGGGGGTGAGTATGTGAGTGCAGGGTGTGTGTGTGTGTGTGTGTGTGTGTGTGAACACCATCCCTGGGGGGTGAATGTGTGAGTGCGGGGGGGGGGTGAGTGTGTGTGTGTGAGCGCCTTCCCTGGGGGGTATGTGAGTGCCTGGGGGGGTGAGTGTGTGAGTGCAGGGTGTGTGTGTGTGTGAGCGCCTTCCCTGGGGGGTGAGTGTGTTAGTGCAGGCTGTGTGTGTGTGTGTGTGTGTGTGAGCACCTTCCCTGGGGGTGAGCACCTTCCCTGGGGGTGAGTGTGTGAGTGCCTGGGGGGGTGAGTGTGTGAGCGCCTTCCCTGGGGGGTGAGTGTGTGAGTGGGGGGTGAGTGTGTGAGTGGTGTGTGTGTGTGTGTGTGTGTGAGCGCCTTCCCTAGGGGGGTGAGTGTGTGAGTGCCTGAGGGGGGTGAGTATGTGAGTGCAGTGTGTGTGTGTGTGTGTGTGTGTGTGAGCACCATCCCTGGGGGGTGAATGTGTGAGTGCCTGGGGGGTGAGTGTGTGTGTGTTAGCGCCTTCCCTGGGGGGTATGTGAGTGCCTGGGGGGGTGAGTGTGTGAGTGCAGGGTGTGTGTGTGTATGTGTGAGTGCCTGGGGGGGGGGTGAGCGCCTTCCCTGGGGGGTGAGCACCTTCCCTGGGGGGTGAGTGTGTGAGTGCCTGGGGGGGGTGAGCACCTTCCCTGGGGGGTGAGTGTGTGAGTGCCTGGGTGGGGGAGCGCCTTCCCTGGGGGGTGAGTGTCTTTCCTGGGGGGGTGAGCACCTTCCCTGGGGGGTGAGCACTTTCCCTGGGTGGGGGAGCACCTTCCCTGGGGGGTGAGCGCCTTCCCTGGGGGGTGAGCGCCTTCCCTGGGGGGTGAGCGCCTTCCCTGGGGGGTGAGTGTCTTTCCTGGGGGGTTGAGCACCTTCCCTGGGAATGAGCACCTTCCCTGGGTGGGGGAGCACCTTCCCTGGGGGGTGAGCACCTTCCCTGGGTGGGGGAGCACCTTCCCTGGGGGGTGAGCACCTTCCCTAGGGGGTGAGCGCCTTCCCTGGGGGGTGAGTGTCTTTCCTGGGGGGTGAGCACATTCCCTGGGTGGGGGAGCACCTTCCCTGGGGGGTGAGCACCTTCCCTGGGTGGGGGAGCATCTTCCCTGGGTGGTGAGCGCCTTCCCTGGGTGGTGAGCACCTTCCCTGGGGGGTGAGTGCCTTCCCTGGGGGGTGACTGTCTTTCCTGGGGGGTGAGCACCTTCCCTGGGTGGTGAGCACCTTCCCTGGGGGGTGAGCACCTTCCCTGGGGGGTGAGTGCCTTCCCTGGGGGGTGACTGTCTTTCCTGGGGGGTGAGCACCTTCCCTGGGGATGAGCACCTTCCCTGGGGGGTGACTGTCTTTCCTGGGGGGTGAGCACCTTCCCTGGGGATGAGCACCTTCCCTGGGGGGTGACTGTCTTTCCTGGGGGGTGAGCACTTTCCCTGGGAGGTAAGTGTCTTTCCTGGGTGGGGGAGCGCCTTGGGGTGGGGGAGCGCCTTCCCTGGGGGGTGAGCGCCTTGGGGTAGGGGTGAGCGCCTTCCCTGGGGGGTGAGCGCCTTGGGGTGGGGGTGAGCACCTTCCCTGGGTGGGGGAGCGCCTTCCCTGGGGGGTTAGCGCCTTCTCTGGGGGGTGAGCACTTTCCCTGGGGAGGCTAGCGCCTTCCCTGGGGGGTGAACGCCTTGGGGTGGGGGTGAGCGCCTTCCCTGGGGGTGTCTTTCCTGGGGGGTGAGCACTTTCCCTGGGTGGGGGAGCGCCTTCCCTGGGGGGTGAGCATCTTGGGGTGGGGGTGAGCGCCATCCTCTGAGCATGATAAAGCCCTGAGAAGAGGAAGTCCGGGCAGCTGGAGGCAGGAGCCTGCATCTGGCAGCTCCTGTTCTGAGCCACTTGGTCCCATGGTCCACATCGCTCGTGGCAGACAGTGGCACACCCGGGCACACCCAAGGTGCTTCTCCTGCTGACCACCGAGTCCCCTCTCTCTCGCTGGAGAAGTAGGGTTATGTGGATGGAAACTGAGGGAAAGTCAGAGGACAGCAGGTGGCGCCAGGTGACCCAGACGATGGAGACAAGTGCTTTAACGCAGCCAGGGTTACTGAATTCACAAGAAATTCCTGAAAACGTCTCTTGGGGTTATGGTTCAGAGAGTATGGAATGAAATTAGGATCCAGACCCCCGCTGGGCTTGGAAGCAGTCAGGGGAATTAGTGAGCAGACCACAGGGGACCAAGGAGGGGCAGGGAGACCAGACCTGGGAAGGCAGGGCAGGCGGCCGGGGCAGTATGCAAGAGCGAATGAAGGAATATAAAGAGGGTCCCTTCCCAGAAGCCTCACGGGGCCCTTCAACTCTGAAGGCTAACATCTCCCACGGAATGTTCCAGAAACTTAAAATCGGTCACTTCCAACTCATTTTGAGGACAAAGCCACCTTGATAAAAGCTCTGAGAGAGTACCAGAGAGGAGACTTTCATTTAATCTTTTCCACAAACACAGATGAAAAATTCCAGACTAGAATTAACAAACCTAATCAGGCAAAATATTTTTTTTTAAATTATGACCAAATTAAGTTTATCTCAACAATGCACAGATGGCTTAATATGTGAAGATTCTCATGTAATATCAGATTTATCATTTTAGTAGATACAGAAAAAGATGATAAAATTCAACAGTTATTCATGATAAAAAAAAAAAAGTCTTGGCAAGCCAGGAATGGAAGGGAACATCCTTTTTAAAAAAATGTCTTTATTAGCTGCTGATGGGCCTTTATTTATATAGTTACATGCGGTGCTGAGAATTAAACCTGGGGCCTCACACATGCCAGGTAAGAGCTCTGCCAAGAGCCCCAGCCCAGCCCCGGAAGGGGACATCTTGTGTGTTAAGGAGTCACCAGGAGCGTGTGACGCTGCAGCATCTAAGGTCCCTTCCCGAGATCCCAGGAGACATGTGTTCTTACCACTCCTACACTGGTGTTCTCCCAGGTGTGCGTCCCATCCAGTCACCTGGCAAGAGACAGGGGACAGAGGAACCAGGTGTGCAGAGAAAAAAGACCATGCCCCCTCCCCCCCAGGGCTGGGCTTGAGCCAGGGCCTCAGCACATGAGGCCAGGCTCCACCAGGAGGCACCTCCCCAGCCTCCTCATTTTACTTTGAGACAGGGCCTAGGTCGCTGAGGCTGGTCTCCAACTTGTGAGCCTCCTCCACCTTACAAGTAGCTGGGGTTACAGGCGTGCACCCCATGCTTGGCTGAAAACTCATTTCTTAACGTGAACCTAGAATCTGCCTTTGCATGGGAGGGCATACCTGTGGACAGGCTGCTGCTGGTGAAATTTTACAACAAAATGCCCTCCCATCCAGAACCTCTTTCCACAAAGGGAGAAGAGAGAGAATAGGTTTTTTTTTTACTGAAAAAGCATTGAGCCAGAATGCAGGGAGCGTTGACAGCCTGCAGACAGGGAGAGAAGGGACACAGCCCACAGCTCAGCGGCCCTCAGGATGGAGCCAGAGGGCTAGAGGGCAGTGAGGAGCCACGTGGTCCCCACGGAAGGGCTACGTCCCCAGGTCTGCATCACCCAGAGACGGGCTCAGGTCCTAGAGCTGGGGCAGGAGGCTTGAGATTCCCTACAACCTGCCCCCACTTCCAAGGGACCCAGTGACACTGTCCGAAAGGGAAGGGGACCTCTTCCTGAGTTTCAGCAGGAGAACGCACACTCTGTGTGTGTTGGATGTGCATCTACCTGTCCAGCAGCAGTGGTCAGGGCTCCTACCTGGGGCTGCTTGGGCAGGCCTGCGGGCCTGAACAACGTGGGTTTCCCTGAATGGAACACTTGGGACCCGGAGGGGAGGGAGAGAAGGCTGGGGGGGCAGGAGCACCGTGGTGGCCCCGAGGTCTGAACGAGGAAGCAGCAGGGCCAGGCGGGTGCCTCCCGGGAGGGACCTGAGGGTGCCACAGAGGCCCATGTGCGGATCCAGGCCAGTGGTGAGGGGCAGGGGTCAGCCTGGGCCGGGTCTGGATGGGAGGCTGTGGGGACGGGGTGGAGCTCCCAAGGGCGAGGCTTTGTGGAACAGCCAGAGCCCCACCTGTCCCCTCAGTCAAGCCTGTCCTGGTCACCAGCCTTCCCAAGAAGCTCCACGTGAAGAGGACCAACTGGAACTTGCTCAGGTGCGCCTACATGATGCTGACCTTCCTCTTCGTGTCCTACAACAGAGGAGACTGGGTGAGCAGCAGAGGGCTCTGGACCCAGAGGGGAAGGGGGACCGAGGGCCGCCCGGGAAGGGCGGGGGGGGGGGGGTGGCGGGAAGGGGCGGGCCTGCACCTCACCTGCTGCTTCTGTTTGCCTCTTCCTCTGACTGGCCCCGTCTCCCCAAGTGCTACTGCCACTACTGTAACCCGGAAGTGGACAACAGGTATGGCGACCGGGAGGGTGGCGCAGCGTGGCGGTCTGCAGGCTCCAGTCACAGAATCACAGAATTGTGGGGGAGCCCCAAGTGACCGCCCTTCATGTTGAGTGGCCGCCAAGGTGGCCCACTAAGCCCACTGGGAGTGAAGCAGGCGTGCGGGGGGCGGGGGGCTCCTTGGTGAATGAACTTGACACCTTTTGTCTTGGGTTTTTAGAAATGTGAAAAGATACACAGAACATAGAACGTGCCCCTAGCGACATTCATCCCCACTACCTTCAGAAAAGGGGAACTACCATTTAGGAGTCCCTCCCCATGGCCCCGGCAGCCAGGAGTGCACTGTCCGTCTCTACTGGTCCACACATTCTGGACCTTTCCTGTAAGTGGACTCCCACTCTGTGTCGTGGCTGGCTTCATGCAGTTGGCCAAGCTCACCCAGGTCATGGTGTGTGTTGGCACACCATTCTTTTGTATGGCTGAATAGTATTCCATTGCGTGGATCTACCACACTCATTTATCCACTTAGAGTTGAAAGACATTAGGTCATTTCCACTTTTTGATAGTTGAGGACAGTGCTTTCATGAACATTTGTGGACAAATTTTTGTTTGAACCTGTAAAACTCTTCTGAGTACACACCTAGGAATGGAATTGTGAGGTCAAGTGAAATTCTATGTCTAACTTATTGGGGAACTTACCCAGTGAATTTTTATTGATCAGCTACTCTTTTTTTAAAAAAATGTTTTATTTTTTAGTTGTAGTTGGACACAATACCCATATTTTATTTATTTTTATGTGGTGCTGAGGATCGAACCCAGGCCTCACATGTGCCAGGCGAGTGCTCTACCATGAGCCCCAGCCCCAGCCCTGATCAGCTACCCTTTAATGGATGGATCCTACACTCAGTGGTGAACAGGGTGGAGAAGAATCTTGAGTTCACAGGAAGGCATCTTGGTCCCTCAGACAGGAATGGTGTTCCTCCCTCTGCCTGCCTGGAACATTCCTCCTGAGCCTCAAGATTCACCTAGGCACCCCCTTGGGCTCAGGGGTGGACACCACTGTAGGGCAGCTGGCAGCGATGGAGGAATGATGCTCCCCACCCCCCTTGACCGTACTTCGAAGCACGAGTCACACCTTTCTGTTTTGGTATGAGAGTATCTGACCCTTTAGGCCAGAGGGGGACAACGTTCTTTGTGAAGGCCAGCCAGTCAAGTATTCTGGCTTGGCAAGCCATACTGTGTCCACTGCAGCCACAGCAACCACAGGCGGTACACAAACAGCTGGGCCTGGCTGTACCCATCTGCTGATGAACGCATGAACAGAATAGGGTACATTGGTACCCTGGAATACTAGTTAGCCATAAACAGGAACGCATCTCTGATACATGCCACCACATGGGTGAACCTTTGAAAAAGTTATTCTAAGTGAAAGAAGCCCGACACAAAAGACCACAGTGTACGATTCCATTTATATGAAATGCACAGAATAGACGAAGCCTGAGACAGAAAGCCAACTGCTAGTTGCCAGGGGCTGGGGCAGTAAGGGGTTCTTTTTTGGGGGGTGATGAAAATTTCTGCTATTAGTCATGATGGCATGAACATCATGAGGGTATGAACACAAGACCGAACTGCAGACTTTAAAATGGTTAAAAGGGGGAGTTTTACGTCAGGTGAATTTTGCCTCCATTATTAAAAACAGGACCTTTGTTAGAGGGGTGCAGGCGGGACCCAGCCCTCCACTCCAGAGCAGTGTGAGAGCCCCTTCTCTGGGCGATTCCTTTGGGAGCTGTGGCACCTGGGGCTCCAGGCCGCATGGGCCTGACCCTGGCTCTGCAATGAGGGTGTAGAGTGGCTTCCGGGAGAAGTCCCTCTTCCTGGAGCGGACCCTCTAGTGACAGGTGGGGACAAGCAAGCGCCCGAGCGCTCACAGGTGCTGTGACCCAGGCAGCCTTCTCCCCACTGTGGGCGACAAGAGCCCCCTGCTCTGAGCCCCTGCTGGGATGGGGAGGAGCCAGTGGGGGGGGACAAAGTGGGCAGAACATAGTGAGGGGAGAGGGGCCCAGGAAGAAGGTGGCCGGGCTGAGCTGCGGAGGCCATGCAGAGGTGCGTGGGCACCGTGGGTGGCCTGGCAGTGCACGAGGACGTGAAGACACGAGGGCGCCCACAGACTGTTGCCCTCCCTCTCTTCCCTTCCTCAGGAACGACCCCCGCTGTGCTTTCTAGTGCGCGTCCTTCTGCCCAACTCAACCTTCAGGGTCCTCCAACTCCCAGAGAATCCTCTGTCCCCTGGACGGCCAGCGAGGAGGGTGGCAGCAGCTCTATCTGCCTCTTTGAGGCCGCGTTAGAGGATGGGCCCAGAGTAGCCGAGTGAACCTCTTGGGGGGTCTCCAGACGTTGTCGACCCCCCCCCCATTAAATGCACACTTGTTGAATGGCTAAGTGCTTGATTCTTCCACCCACCCAACGCAGAGCATTAACACAGGGGACAGGGGTAGGTCACCTATCATTTAACACAGGTACCAATCCTACCAGAAGGTTCTACGGAGCTTTAGCTGTACAGGTGGAGGGAGCCGGCTCAGAGGGTTCGATGCTGGCCCAAGGTCACAGGGTGGCAGAGCTGGCACTGGCCTCGGCGGACCTTATTCCAGCATCCCTATTCTTTTGTGTAAAGACCTGGGGGCTGCCCCAGGAGCAGCTGTGTCCCCTGTCCAGCAGCATATTCTTGCCTGCATTTGGGGAGGCCAGTGTCCTGGTTGAGCCGAGGCTCCGGACATGCTTTTCTTGGGTTCAATCCCAGTTCCACTTCTTATTGGATACAGCAATGTGGAGGAAGCTATTGTCTGTCTGTCTGTCTGTCTCTCTCTTTTGGTACAAGGAATGGAACCCAGGGGCGTTTAACCACCAAGCCACATCCCCAGCCAGCCCCACCCCTTTTTAATATTTATTTTTTTTAAATTTAGAGACAGGGTCTAGCCAAGTTACTTAGGGCCTTGCTAAGTTGCTGAGGCTGGCTTTGAACTCGCCATCCTCCTGAGCTGCTGGGATTACAGGCGTGCACCACCGTGCCCCGCGGAAGTTATAACCTCTTAATGCCTTATTTTATCATCTGCAAACTAACAGCACAGAAGTCCTATCATAATAGAAGCAACATCTGGTTAGTTCATCAAGTTGGTTGAAATGGATAATGTAAACATATTTTAAGCATTTTGTTTTAAAATATGTAACTGTATGCCCACTTGCCAATCTTTTGATATTAGAATGAGGTGATCGCCGTGGCACACGCCTGTAATCCCAGCAGCTCAGGAGGCTGAGACAGGAGGACCTCGACTTCAAAGCCAGCCTCAGCAATGGCGAGGCCCTCATCAACTCAGTGTGACCCTGTCTCTAAGTAAAATAAAAAATAGGGCCGGGGATGGGGTTCAGTGGTCTAGTGCCCCTGAGCTGAATATCCAGTACTGTAGTGGCATGCTCTTCTCCTCAGAAAACCTTACCTAAGCTTCTCCAGAAACCTTCACCATGATTGATTTTAGGACTATCAACAGCAGAGTCTCTACAAGAGTTCAATGTAGGTAAACTTCCTATTTTCCTGTTGCTCTATTACTTGGCCACTAGCCTGCAGCACTCCAGGTGCTGCTTCACAAACATTTATCCAGAAGTTTGTAAAAGTGTGTTTGCAAATGAAACGTGATTTTTAGGCCTCTGGCCTGGAGCTGGGCTTCACAGAGATGTCTACATTTTTAGGATAAGAGGAGTTACCAACTGGGCTCCATGGTAACAGCTGGCAGGGGGAGGAAAGAAAGGGGAGAAGAAGCTCCCCCCTTCTCAGGTGCTGTCCTTGGAGGGTTAACTTGCCCAGAACAGTGAAAGAAAAAGCTGCTTTTATGTGAACTTCTGCAGACTGTGAACTTCTGAGCCCCTCCCCTTACATGCCGGGTATTAAGTTCTGAAACTACCTGAACTCGGGGTTCAGGGGATTGATTCCAGCAAAACCTGCACCTTCTGAAGCTGGCTGCAGCCAAATAAAACTGTTTCCTGCTTTCTTTTCTGTTCTGCCTCATCTGTCCCTACAACAGTACCAAAAAAGAAAGAGAATGAGGTAATGTTTTGTGTTTATGAACCCGTGTCCAGATTATCCCTTAAAAGGGAGCAGAAATATGGACACTTGCACTTGGTGCACTGAAACTTCTATACTCAAATGGAGAAAACTTTCATCCTTACGGCTGTCTCGCCAATCGAATCTAACTCAGGTGGCGAGGCAAATCGTACAGAGGCCAACGCACACCAGAGGTCACCACCAGCCCACCGTCCGACAGCACCCAAGAGGCCCGTTCCCCACGGACCCGCCTCCTCCCCCAGCGCACGCGCAGACGACCTGCATGTGACATCACCACGCCAGGGCGGAAAGTGTTACCGTGGTGACCGCGACGCTTTCAGAAAGCCGCAAGCGACCGCCCAGAGAGCTGCCACCCGCGCCCGGCTCCCGCCTGTGCAGGGGCTGGGCCGCCGCTCGCGCCCCGCCTGCGGCCCCAGCCGACAGCGCGGAGAGGCTGGCCGTGCGAGCGTCCGCACCCGCCGCCCCGGGGGCTTCTGACCCACGAGCCCGCTGGCGGCCGGGCCTGCTCCCACACAATACCCAGAAGTCCCTGGGCCGCTCGCGCTGAGGATTGCCGTGGAGATGGCGAGACGCCGGAAGTCTGGGGAAAGAGGCGGGGCCAGGCCGGAGGCGGGACTTCGATTGGTGGAGAGGCCTCAGCTTCTGGAGCCGGCAGTGGCACCCGCGCATTGCGGGGACCCGCCGCCTTTCCGTGCCGCCTGCCGGATCGGAGAGCCTGGGTTGGCCCGCTGGGTCGCTGGCCGCGCCGGGCCTCGTTCCCGAGCGGAGAGGCCCCGCCGCGGCTTCCCGGGGTCCACGGTGTCTCCCCCGCCTGTGTGACGCCACAGTCCCTGAGTGGGCTGAGCAAATCTGAAGCCGTTGTGAGCTCTGTGCCGCCCTGTACCCCTCTTTCTGGAAATGGTAGGCCTCTTCGTGCTCTCTGCGCCTCGGTTTCCCCTTTTGTGAAATGTTCCGCGGAGCTCAAGCTCAGCGGCCTCGAGCAGGGTGCATAGGCCCCGTGCCTCTGTTTCCCCATCTGTGAAATGAGGGTGATTGTGGAATTCGCCTCGGTAGGCTTGTTGCAAGGACTGAGGGTTCCTAAGCACAGTGGTCCTCATGTAGTGACTACTCCTGTCAGTGGCTTTGGTAACCGTCGCCCTCACTTGGGGCTGAGGATTTGGGCAAGCCACCCCTTCCCTTGGCATCTGGGAAGTTGATCTGCGAGCTGAGTATACTGGGTTTTGTGGCCGCTAAGCTTTCTTCTGAGCACGCAACGAATGGCTTTTTCCTCGCTGAGGGATGCTACAGGTTTCGTGCTAAGACACTGAGTTCCAGAAACCGCGTATTGCCATGTCCAATGCTGTTTGACCCCTGTCAGTCCTCGCCTTTCAGTGAGCCACGAGTTTCCTCGGGATTAAGTGATGGGAACTTGTAATTCTTGTTTCTGGTCCAGGCACTGCCCTGACTTTGCTTGAGGACCTTGGACAGGACACCACTGGGAACAACACAGGGTGCACCCCTAAACTTGGAGTTTCTTTCACTGAGGAAGCCCAGTTAGTAGTTCTAGGGCCTCCCTGCCCTCCCTCCACCTGGTGCCCTCATTGTGTTGCCCAGCATCTTGTTGCTGTCAATCTGAGGTCTGCCTGCCCCATTGCTTATAAATGCTTGTCTTAAAAGTTGTGGGAAAGTTCAGGCCCTGTCCTGTTTCCCTTGTGGCATCTCTGAGCAGAAGGGACGAACTAAGCGCCCTGGCTGAGGCCCTGGAGGCAGAAGGCATGGGCCACCCTGCTGCATTTGTTCAGGGAATCTGCTCCCTTTCTAACTCTCCTCCAGTCTCTCTTGTTAGTGTGGGGGGTGTGTGTCGGTAACAGCTCCAAAGTTCTCCAGTCTCTTTGGGATCCAGTTTCTCTATTATACGTCCTGTTATCACTGTCTTCTCTGTAAGTAACACTGGTGTTCCATACTATACTATAACATTTTATCTTTTAAACAAATTTGGTACATTCAGTGGTTCTTAAATTTGGCACATGTTGAAGCCACTTGAAAACTTGTAATTCTAGTTTCTGACCAGGCACTGCCCTGACTTTGCTTGGGGACCTTGGACAAGACACCACTGGTAACAACACAGGGTGCACCCCTAAACTTGGAGTTTCTTTCCCTGAGAAAGCCCAGTTAGGCACTATGCTGGCAGGGCGAGTTGGTGGACACCTGTAATCCTAGGGGCTCTGGAGCCTGAGGCAGGAGGATTGCAAGCTCAAAGGCAGCCTCACCAAAAGCGAGGCACTAAGCAACTCAGACCCTGTCTCTAAATAAAATACAAAATAAGGCTGGGGATGTGGCTCAGTGTCAGTGTGCCCCTGAGTTCACTGTGCGGAACTCCCCTCCAGAGGTTGGCTCAGATGTCTTGGTGAGAGCCTAGGGCAGTGTGATTCAAAGTTGCTCAGAGAACTCTAATGTGCAAAAGATGGAGGGGCACTGACTAGACGCCCTCCAAGTTCTGTGTGGCCCACTGTTCACCAGTTCTCTCATTCCCAAGCATGCAAAGGGTCTTTGCCTGTCCCCACCTTTTGCTGCCCTCCCCTGTTCACTGCCGGCCCATCACTGCCTCCTAAGCTAGCAGCTGGGAGAATCCATTCCCTACTTCCTCAGCTGCCGGAGCTCTGGCAGGCCTTCGCGCAGTCTTTCCTCCGTGGGCAAGCCAGCGGCCTGAGGTCGTCCTCTGTGACCCCAACACCGACTCCCACTTGAGGGCCCTATGTTATGGGCCCCCAGGTGATCCAGGGTGACCTCCCTAGTTTAAAGCAGCTGAGCAGCAGCTTTGATTCTGCTCAGCCCTGCTCACCCTGCTGGGGCACCTCACCTGTTCACAGCGGCTGCGGATTAGGACATGGACATATTCTTCAGGGTGGGAAGGGGTAGTGTTCTGATCACTGGGTCCCTAGGGTGAGTCATGTGACTTCTTCCAGTCTGTTTTACCAACTCAGAGATGGGTACAGTGATTCTTTCCACTCAGAGCTGCTGTCAGGTATAAAACAGGGTCCGTCTGTGGCACACAGAAACCCTGAATGCTGGCTCCATCCCTCCTTGCTGTGTTAATTTTGACATATAGTTGCCTCCGTAACTGTTACTTTGTCTGAACCTCAAAGCCACTCTGTTCCCGTGTTACAGATGGAGAACATGAGGCTTAAAGAAATGGATTCCCGGCCTCTGGGTTATGTGGCTTCTAAGAGGCAAGCCAGGACAGAAACCCAGGGTTCTTGGCATGAAACCCATGCTTACCCCTTCTGGTTCATTATCACCTCCAGAAACTGAAATAAGAAACT